TTAACTTCTTTTTCGGGGGAGACAGGGTGGGGGCAGAGTCTCGCTCTGTCGCCTGGGCTGGAGTGTAGTGGCGTGATCTCGGCTCACTGCAGCCTCTACTTCCCGGGTTCAACTGATTCTCCTGCCTCAGCATCCTGAGTAGCTGGGACTACGGGTGTGCACCACCACACCCGGCTAATTTTTGTATTTTTAGTAGAGACTGTGGGGCTGCCCAGCCACCTTCGGGGGACACACACACCTCTTACTCCCTGGGTGACTGGGTGGAGCCCCCAGGCCCACCATGTTGGCCAGGCTGGTCTCAAACTCCTGACCTCAGGTGGTCCTCCCGCCTCGGCCTCCCAAAGTGCTGGGATTCCAGGCATGAGCCCCCGGGCCGGGTCCTAACTTTTTAAGACGTTGCCAAATTTTTCCCAAGTGGCCGTACCATGGCAACATGTGGGGTCCAGTGACATGTTCTCGCCCAGGCCGACGGCACCAGAGCTGGGAGAGCTCTCCGCTGTGGCACTGTCCGCTTTGGTATCTGGATCCAGCGGGGCAGCACGTTTCCCTCTGGCTTAAATCTTTGTGTCTCCAGTGACCGACGTGCCCAGCGTTTCCCATGTTCTCCACCTCGGCGCCTCTTCTCTGGTGGCCTCTGTTCAGGTCCTTTCCTTTTGTCTGGTGCTGGCCTGCCAGGCCCAGCTGCCCACCTGTGCCTCCTGGAGCTCCCATTCCTCTCTCCTCACCCAGCAGGCCTGCTGGGCTCTGTCTGTGGCGCTGCCCTGGCCTGGGTCCTGGGGGAGCGTGCGCTCCATTTCACGCTCTGGCCCCTCTGCCTGCTGAGCTTCTGTCCGGTGGCTGCTCTGCTGAGAACCCTCTGCCAGGAGTCACCTCTGACCCAGGCTTGTGCGATGTCCCATTTGGCTGTCCGTTTGGGAAGATTCAGTGGGTTACAAACAACCTTGTTTTGTTTTACATCTTTGTTTTTGTTTTTTTTGACACAGGGTGTCACTCTGTTGCCCAGGCTAAAGTGCAGTGGCACAGTCGTGGCTCACTGCAGCCTCAACCTCTTGGTCTCAACAGATCCTCCTGCCTCAGCTCCCTGAGTAGCTGGGACCGCAGTTGTGTGCTACCACACCCGGCTGATTTTTAAATTTTTTGTAGAAACAGGATCTCTGTATGTTGTCCAGGCTGGTCTCGAACTCCTAACCTCAAGCAGTTCTCCTGCCTTGGCCTCCCTAAGTGATGGTCTCACAGGCATGAGCACCATGCCTGGCTGAAACCATTTCTCTTTATGGTAGCAGGACCGTCCTCCTTTTCCTCCCTAATTCGTCCCCCAGGGCACTAGAGTATTTGTTTTAATGGAAATATAACGCAATACACCAAAATGCACAGATGGTAAGTTTTCAGTCTGTCGGACAACAGAGTGAGTGCATGTGTAATCTCCCAGTGCAGGCGAAGACACAGAACCTCACGGGTCACACAGGACCCTGTGGATGTCTCACTGCAGCCTGAGTGACACTTGTGTGTTCAGTCTTCGGTGAAAGGCGGCTCTCACTGTCTGGAAGCCGTCTCTCTTCATGGCTGGATGGCTCCTGTGATGCCCGCTGCTGTCGTGGTCACCTCCTGGGGAGCACTCAGCTTGTCGACGTCTGCCTTCCTGAACCCAGGGCCCTGCTCAGCGCCAGGCAGGCGTGTGAGCCAAGCCACAGTCGCTCCTGCGGCCGTGCAGTTGGCCTCCCGGCCCCGTCCCGGGGCTGCGCTCTCATGGGAGCTGCTCCAAGCAGGCCCTGCCCAGGTACCCAAGACCAGCGTGCGAGTCTGAGTGCAGGGCTCCGCGGCTCAGAGTCACCTTTCGCGAGCAACTCTGGCTTTGAGGATATCTCAGAAATCTCACTGGTCTCTGTTTCCAGGCCCTGGGTCATGTGAGGATTTCAGATGCATGCGTTTTTTTTTTTCCCAGCCATTGACGGAAATGCTGGGCTGATGGGGCTGGTACAGAGGTGGACGCCTTGGCCTCAGGCTGTGAGCCACCTCTGAATGAACGTGAATGAACTTGTCTTCAGGCACACGTTACTCATGCTGTCCTCACAGACACCTCGTGAAACCTTCTGGAGATGCCTGAGGCCTACCCGCCTGGCGCCGGAGGCTGTGAAGGCTGAGGTTGCTGTGGCCTGCCTGGCCTCAGCAGGTCCCTGAGCTGGCCACCGTGGTCCTGGCTTCACCCTGCAGTGATGCCGTGTCGGGAGGCATGGGAGAGTGGGGTGGGCCTAGGACTCACACACGGCTCCCAGCCCTGCTGCTTCTGGACAGCCCCGCCTCTTCCAAGCTGCACCTGTGAAGTGCCTTTGACCTTTCGAGGTTGCCACGTGGACTGATGTAAATGGGGATGACAACGTGCCTCACCTGAGGCTGGTGTCCACGGTGCCAGCCGCCTGTGTGCCCAGGACAGTGTGCCAGGCGTGGCAGACATGGCCAGGCTGCTGGGGGTGTGGGCGGCTCTAACGGGTGCTTCTCACTGCCCAGGCCAGCTCAGAGCCTTGCCAGGGGTGCGGGCAGCTCTCCTGGGTGCTTCTCGCTGCCCAGGTCAGCTCAGCACCTGTTGTCTTCCCCCGTGTTTGGGATGGTCTCTGGCCTGGTAGCTTGTGGATGCTGGTAGACCTGGGCGGGGTATAGGGCTGCGTGAGGAGAGCATGAATGTGGACAGCAACTGTCTCCCGCGTGCTGAGGCTCTGCCCAGGGATATGGGGTGCCCCGGATACCCTGACCCGGCTCCCTGTGTCCCTGGAAACGCCTGGGGCTGCAGCTCGGTGAAGTGCGTCGTGTCTAGGCCCAGATTAGTGGATGTCCCTCTTCCATCTGCCATTCCCAGTCCCAACTGCTGGTGACCCCAGCAGTGGCCGGATTATCCAGGGTTCAGCTGGCTGTGAGGAGGGCAGTGTGCTGCTCCGAGGCCCTGAGGCACCAAACTTTCCAGTGTGCGCTTCACACAGCCCAGCGTGACCACGGCCACGTGCCTCCTGATGACAGCGGCTGGGCGGGCTCCAGGGCCTCCCTGGGGCAATGTGAGGGTGCCAGGCGGGGCTGGTGGTGGGCAGAGCTCAAGGCCTTCCCTTCACCCACAGGCATTGCACAGGGGTGGTGGGCAATGGGAGTCGCTCGGGTGCCCCACTGAGTGGGGCACCACACCAGAGGCTTGGGGGGCTCAGGTGCTCACACCTGCAGCCTCCATGGGGGCATCTGGAGCCTGGGTTTGACTCTGTTGTGGCGTCCAGAACCAGCAGGCACCGAGATGGCCCATGGGAAGTCCAGAACCTGGCTCTGGCTGGGCCTGTAGGGGAGCTTGGGGGTCCATGGTCTGCAGAGTGGACAGGCTGAGGATTATGGGCTGTTGCCTCAGCCACGTTCCCCAGGCTGTGTCCCCAGGGGCTGTAGTGCCTCGTTTTCTGTGTCTCCAAACATACTTCCCCCATCCCTGCCACATGTGCACATGCCACACACAGGTGTGCATATACATCCCCACACACGCACGCACACGCACACACGCACACACACACGCACGCACACGCACACACACGCACACACGCACGCACACACACGCACACACACGCACGCACACGCACACACGCATGCGCACACACACACGCACGCACACACACACACACGCACACACACGCACGCACACGCACACACGCATGCGCACACACACGCGCACGCACACACACACACGCACGCACACACGCACACACACACACACACACACGCACACACACACACACGCCTCCCCGCCTTGGTCTCTCCTGGTGACTTGCCCGGTGGTTTCCAGTTGCCGCTGAGCCAGGCCTCTGCCTGCCTCTCGATTCCTCCCTCATCCTCAGGCCTGCTGGGCCTGCACCCTACAGACCCCACCACAGCCTCCTGCCTCACTCCTGGGCTGGCCCTCCATCTCCTTCCCGGCCTTTCGTGTGTACTGTGGCCTGGGGGGTCTCCCCTGCCTGGCCCTTCCTCCCGGGTTCCTCTGTGCTGTGGCCTGGGGGGTCTCACAAGGCCCCCTGCCTGGCCCTTCCTCCTGGGTTCTAGGACAGAGCCACAGTGTGTTTAGGTGGTGGGGGCAGTGGGGAGCCAAGCGGGGTCGTGGGAAGGAGTCAGGAAGGGGCAGAGGCAGCGGATGTGGGGGAAGGCAGGAACTGCAGGGGCAGAGGCCCAGGGCAGGGGTCTCCGAGGTCCTGAGCCCCATGCACTGTGCAGGTCGTGGGTGCAGGGTCACTGTCCCCAGTAGGAAGCCGGACTGCTGACGTCCCAGCACCACAAGGCCCAGCCTTGCTGTTCCGTGAGGCCTGTGAGGAGGAGGTGGCTGGCTTTTCATTGCTGGCTTTTCTACCCTTACTGTGGGGTCAAGCCTTGTGCCCTCTGGGGAGTGTATGGGGGCAGGAGACCCTTCCCGCCTGGGTCGGGGTCCTGCTTGGGGGTGGCTGTGGTGGCGGAGATGCTCTGAGGTGGGGCCTCTGCCAGGAAAGTCACCTGATTCTGTTCTTTAAGCACGAGCCTGCCAGGGAGAGTGAATTGATTTCCTCTGATCGAAAGTCCCATGCTGAACCTTTCCCTCCATCTTTCCCCAATTCCACAGTCCCTCTTGGGCCCACCCCTGGCCCCCCTATTCACAGTCAGTTTCCTGAGAGAGGTTTTTAGAATGGACCTCGGTTCTGTCAAGCCTCCCGCAGCCCACTCGGTCTCCATCTCCATCAGTGGGCTCTGGGCCTCGTGGGGCGGCCACACTGGCCCCTGCCACTCCTCTGGCCACCCTCTGCCTGCTCTATCTCTGTCTCCATCAGTGGGCTCTGGGCCTCACGGAGTGGCTGTGCTGGCCCCGCCCACCCTCTGGCTGCCCGCTGCCCAGCTCATGGGTCCCGTTGCTCCATAGGGAGTGGAGGCTGTGGGGTGGTGGGGTTTGTGTTCCCCGCAGTCCTAGAAATGGGTCCTGGCCCACCCAGTCTCAGGCTGAATCCTATCTTGTCTTGCAGGCTCAGCTGTCGCAGGCCCTGGAGGAGCTGGGAGGCCAGAAACAAAGAGCAGACATGGTGAGTCAGACACAGGAGTGGCTGGGATTCAGGACACCTGGACCCTGGGTCTGGGCAGTGATGCCTGTCCCCGTAAGCCCTTAGGCTGTAGACACCAGTGCATGGCTGCCTCCTCTGTCGTTGGAAGCTGTGTTGAGCGGGGAAGGGTGTGTGAGGAGCCTGAGTCCCATCTCTACCAGTGACAGGTGGCGTGCACCTGGGCAGAGCACAGCCCCTCGGGCCCCACCACCGTGTTTGTGGCAAGGGGGCAGTGACATGTTTGCCACACGAGGCCGCGGTGTCAGAGGCAAAGCAGGTGTGAGAGCCCGCGAGGGTCTGTAGTGAACTAGGCATTGGTGCCGTGGCTTCGTGGACCCCTGTCCTGACCGCACAGGACCTGAGTCCCTAGGGGGACAGTGCCTCAGCTGGGGCTCGGGTGTCACTCAACATGGATCCTGACCGAGAGAGGGACGTCTCCAGCGAGTGCTTCTCTGCCATCTGTGAATGCGGCAGGTGTGCTTTTAAGCTGTTTTCTCCTCAGCCCACATCGGCCCACTCTCGCTGGTTTGGCTGCCTCGGAGCCTGGGTGGGGCCGCAGTGTGGGCCGTGGGGGGCCAGGCAGGCTCTCCTGGTTTCCGGACCTCCAGTGTTAAAAAGCTGCCCACTGTCGTAGGGAACAAATGGGCTTTGCTTCTGAAGCGTTTTGGCCTAAACAAAGTGTAGGTTCCGTCCATGCTGCCCTGGCCTTGGCCATGTCTGTGAAGGACACGGACGGCCCTGGGGCATGCGTGCGTGCGTGCGTGTGGCTGCATATTCTGTCCCGGGCCACGCGTCAGGCTGGCCTGGGTCGCAGGCGGAGCGGCTGTCAGCGTTGTACGGACCCCAGGGCCTGCAGCCCAGGTCGAGGCTCCCATCTGGGCGTCCTTGCTTACCAGCTCATGACTGGGAGCTGGTGTCCTGGCTCTCAGGGCCTCCACCTGGCAGGGGTGTGCCGAGGGTTCATTGCTTGACAGATTCTGGGGCCGGCTGCACAGCCCGTGGCGGTTGTGGCTGTGGCCATGGTTACAGGCCCTTCCCACGGGGCAGGGTCGAACGGGGTTGGAAGTCACCCTCTTGAGAGGTACGGGCACCAGGGCCTAGGCTGGGAATGGGTGAGGGGTGTCTGCTGAGACCCTGGAAGAAGCTGCCAGTGGCGCGGAGAGGCAGCAGCAGGGCACCGCACGGGTCTGGGTCTGGGCAGAACCGGCATCCGCAGGACCAAGGCCAGGCGGGCTGGTGACAGCTGCCCTGAGGCTCCAGAACGGTCACTGTTCACTCAGCAGCTGCTTAAGGACGTTCCTCTCGGTGCTGGGGACGCGGCAGCCAGCAACACAGGCTCCTGCCCTCTGGAGGCGCACTGCTGCCGGGTGAGTAGTCGGTGGCCCATAGGAGAGTGAAGGACAGAACTTCCGGTAGTGGCAAACACAGGAGCCACACTTTCCCGGGGCCGTTCTGCAGAGCGTCCTGAGCCAAGCCTGGGGGACCCGACTGTTGGTGGTGGGAGTAGCGGGGCAGGCAGGGCCCGGGACCCAACAGCGAGGTTCGGGGTGACAGAAGTGGGGCCCGTGGTGGTTGGTAGTCTGACCTTGTGGGCCTTGTGTGGTCACGGCAGGGCTGTGGTTTCGTGGGTGGAGTTGGTGTCCATTCATAAAGGATGCCTGGCTGCTCTGTGCAGGGCCGCAGTGGGTGGGAACTGGCAGGGCTGGGGCTGGCCAGGCTGGGAGACACAGGTGCCCTGGCCTAGGACTGCAGTGGGCTGCGGAGGTGTGGTCCGAGTCGGCTGTGTTGAAGGGAGATGCGGGTGAGGTAGAGAGCGTGAGGGCCAGGAATCGAGGATGGCTTCAGCATTCTGCCCTGGGTAGGCTCATGGTATGGGGTGGGGAGACTGGGGGTGAAGTGTGGGAGTCTCATGCCTGCCGCACGTTGGGTGCACAGGGCTGGAGGCTTTGAGTCAGTGCCCTGGGGTCAGAGGTGCCCGTCCGCTCTGCATGGTATTTCAGTTGTCGGGAATGAGTAGGTAGCAGAGAAGTCAGAACCGGAGGCTCGAGCCTCTTCGGGGCATTCCAGCGTCCTGTCATCTAGTCTTGGGGAGAGCCGTGAGTTTGGGGACTCCGTGGAGGGCAGGTCCAGTCACAGAGCCCTGGAGAAGGAAGTGTTTTCAGGGGGCAGTCAGACTGCAGAGAGGACCCAGAAGGAGAACAGAGGATTGCCCTGGGCCCTGCGGCTGGCGTTTCGTTAAAGAGAGGGAAGGCACAGAAGGGCCTGCTCAGGGGCTGGGCCTGGAGCCGGAGGGAGATTTGTTTTACCCGATGGGCAGCGGGAGAGTGGTTTATACTGATGGGAACCTCGCTGTAGTGACGGGCGTGATGTAGGGCTGGGGCAGTAGAGGGGCATCGAAGTGGACGGGGACCAGCAGGTTGCTGGAGCTTCCTGTCTCTTCCTGAAGTGGGCATGAGGTGGGCTGGCCTGTGAGAGTCCCGGCAGTCCCGCTGAGGTTTGTGGTGTGAACTTGGAGCCAGGTTGGGTGGCAGGCTTCTGTCTGCCACGCTCAGGTGCTTCCCGGCAGACACAGTCACTGAGGAATGGGGGTTTGTCCGGGCGGGTTTGCCAGGGGAGCGCAGTGGAGGGAGGGAGGGGGGGATGTGACACTTGGCTCAGCGGAAGGACAAGCAGGCTGTTGGGGGCTCCAGGACAGGCCTTTCTTGGGTCTGGGTTTTAAAATTGGAGGATGAACCGTGTTTCTCTTCAGGCTGTAGAAATACTGGGGGCTATTGTTTTGTTTATTTTCCTCCCTGTGTTCTGCTGTGAGCTTTCACTGCTGATGGAATTTGCAGGGGAACGCTTCATAACTGTATTGTTTAATGGCAGGTCTGAGACCCAGTTTCCGTTCCTCCGCCTTCATCTGAGACGGCTCAGGGCAGCCCTGAAAGATGCTCCTGCTTCAGTGAGCGGGTTAGGGGACTGTGTGGACGGTGGGGTCTGGTGTCCATCAGTGAGCGGGTTAGGGGACTGTGTGGGCCAGGTAGGGTCTGGTGTCCCATCAGTGAGCAGGTTAGGGGACTGTGTGGACCGGTGGGGTCTGGTGTCCATCAGTGGCCAGGTTGAGGACTGTGTGGACGGTGGGGTCTGGTGTCCATCAGTGGCGGGTTAGAGCTCTGTGGACTGTGGGGTCTGGTGTCTGGCAGTGAGCGGGTTAGGGGACTGTGTGGACGGTGGGGTCTGGTGTCCATCAGTGAGCGGGTTAAGGGGGACTGTGTGGACGGTGGGGTCTGAGTGTCCGGCAGTGAGGCGGGTTAAGGGGACTGTGTGGACTGTGGGGTCTGGTGTCCGGCAGTGAGCGGGTTAGGGGACTGTGTGGACGGTGGGGTCTGGTGTCTGGCAGTGAGCGGGTTAGGGGACTGTGTGGACGGTGGGGTCTGGTGTCCATCAGTGAGCGGGTTAGGGGACTGTGTGGACGGTGGGGTCTGGTGTCCATCAGTGGCGGGTTAGGAGACTGTGTGGACGGTGGGGTCTAGTGTCCATCAGTGAGGCGGGTTAGGGGACTGTGTGGGCCCGGTGGGGTCACAGGTGTCCATCAGTGAGCGGGTTAGGGGACTGTGTGGACGGTGGGGTCTGGTGTCCGGCAGTGAGCGTGTTAGGGGACTGTGTGGACGGTAGGGTCTGGTGTCCATCAGTGAATGGAGTTAAGGGGAGCTCTGTGGACTGTAGGGTCTGGTGTCTGGCAGTGAGCCCGGGGTTAGGGGGCTCTGTGTGGACTGTGGGGTCTGGTTCCCCTGAGTGCAGGTGTTCAGGAAGGATGACAGGGCCCTCTTCCGCCTGTGTGGGGTTAGGGGGGCTCTGTGGACTGTGGGGTCTGGTTCCCCTGAGTGCAGGTGTTCAGGAAGGATGACAGGGCCCTCTTCCGCCTGTGTGGGGGGTTGGCAGGGGGTTGGTGGGGGGCGCGCCCAGGGTCTTCCTCTGTCGGTGCTTCCTTCTCAGTGACTGAGCTTTCTGGATGCTTCAGTGAGGTGTTGCCTCTGGAGCAGCCTGGGGTGGGGTGGGTGCTGTTTGAGGAGGGATGCTCCCATCTGAAGATGCCCTGTGGAGACCCTGGTGTTCTGTGTGTCATCACGCTGGCTGCCTCACTGTTGGCCTGAACTGAAACGCGCCCGGAGGCCACGCTTCCGCGTGTGCAGGCGGCCAGGAGGGTTAGAAATGGAGTTGTCTGAGCGCAGGCCAAACCCTCAGCATTATGGCTGAGCCACCTGCCTGGCGCCCGCAGCTGCTCTGGAGTGTGGACTCCCCACATCCAACAGAGGCACGGATGCCTCGGAGCTGGCACCTTGGCCCGGGCATTGGTCCTTCTCCAGCTGCACCTTGGCCCCGGGCGCCAGCCCTTCTCTGGCTGCAGGCGGTTTTGGAGGAACCGCTCACTCCAGGCCTCTTTCGTGGGGAGGGAGCTGGAAACTGGTCTTGGGCCTTCGGGCGGGGTGGGTGTGGCCGCCTCTGGAGTGCTGGCTTCCCTGGATCTCTGGGTCTGGTCAGGGGGCTGTGAGGAGCACTTGGTGCAGCGCTGGGCTGGAGGTTTGGCTGCTTTTCAACCTGTGTTTTTTCTTTTTTAGCCCATAGAATTTCTGTTCCTTATTCATTGTACCCAGCAGTGTTTAAGCTCTAATGCCTGGGCCCCAAGACGCAGAATTTGACTTCGAATTTGGTGGTGGGAGGATTGCCCCCAAGCAGGATCGTGATTTTACCCCTCCCCGGGTTGAGCTCCTGTTCCTGGCCCCCATCCTTTGTTTGGAGCCATAGGCCCTCCAGATGGGCTCCCGAGGGATGAGAGGAGGGGTCTTGTTGGCTCTGTGCCCCTCTTGCCATGCAGAGCCCTTCAGAGGAGGTACTGGGGAGAGCAGTGCCAGGCAAGGGGGCCACAGGCACCATGGTTGGGGCTGGCCCCTGCCAGGCATGCCTGAAGGCCAGTGGCCTCCCTCCCCTGCCCCCCACCA